TATAATTAAATTTACATTTTAACTGTAATGAAAAGAATACACGAAGATATAAAAAAATCTATATTTTCACAAAAAATTGTTTTTTTTAGATAAATTTTTTCTAAAATTGAATTTGGAAAGAGCACTCCCGAAAACGTTCAGAACTTTACTTTTACGTTTTCACTTTATATAGTTCAAATTTGAGTTAAGAATAAGTGAAAATTCCAAAACATTGGAAATATTTTTCAGTTACAGAAAAGAACATATTTGTCATTGTATTTGTGGCATATTTTCTTTGTTAACGTTATGACCATGGAGACTATACAGTCTCCATGGTTATGACTTTGACTGAAACTTGTGATATGCTATGCTGTCATTGCTGTCCTATGTATTATTTTAGTATACCTATATACATATACTTATACAGAGTATACAGAGAGATCCAGAATTATTGAAGTGTTTGCAGATCGCAGCCTGTGCCTGTCTCTGTCAATATTACAGATTTTTATATGCTAAAGATGGTGTAAAGGTAAGTTTATGCAGCAGCGATTTGCGAGTTGCGATTAACGCTTTTGCGATTTATGCGACAAAAATTTAACATTCGTTCATGCACATACGCGAAAACTAGTTAGTTTTTAAATTTTTTGTGTTACTTTACATAAATGTTATCCATTTTAAGAAGCTTCAGCAATTTATTTACACTGTGCAGATCAGCAACTGTTTTTTGTATATTTATTTTGAAAACAGAAAATAGCCAGAAAAGTGAAAAGTAAGGAGAAAAGAGTTGAAAAGTACTTGCAAAAAAACAGGCCCCAGGGCGCTTATCATAATTTGATAATGGAAATGAGATTACATGATACTAATAAGTATTTTAATTACTTGCAAAGGGAACTGGATGGAATGCACATGCGCAGTTTGTCAAAATTATTGCGATAATCGCCAAAAATAGAAACCATTTCTATTTTCCCGCCCCCTATATTTAAATTTTGCGATTCTCGCAATATATTGAAATGAAGAAATGAATGTCAAAAATATTTTATTTCAACCAATCAAATTGAAATCCACAAGTCGTAAATCGCAAATCGCTACTGCATGAACTCAGAACACAGAGGCCGTGGCGATAGCGGTGAGATCGCTACGGCATGGAGACGTTGCGGTGGTGTCCTGTTACCACCCACACAGACTACCACTACTTGACAATGACTTAGACAAAATCCTTTCCTGGCCCCAGACAATTGCCATCGGGNTATATTTATTTTGAAAACAGAAAATAGCCAGAAAAGTGAAAAGTAAGGAGAAAAGAGTTGAAAAGTACTTGCAAAAAAACAGGCCCCAGGGCGCTTATCATAATTTGGTAATGGAAATGAGATTACATGATACTAATAAGTAGGTATTTTAATTACTTGCAAAGGGAACTGGATGGAATGCACATGCACAGTTTGTCAAAATTATTGCGATAATCGCCAAAAATAGAAACCATTTCTATTTTCCCGCCCCCTATATTTAAATTTTGTGATTCTCGCAATATATTGAAATGAAGAAATGAATGTCAAAAATATTTTATTTCAACCAATAAAAATGAAATCCGCAAATCGTAAATCACAAATCGCCACTGCATGAACTTACCTTGGCTGCATCCCCCAAACTCTTCAATCATTCTGCATATCTCCGTACATGTTGACTGATCCGTGATCCGTGATCTGTGATTAGTGATCATGTATGCATACAATCTTTCCCCCCCTGCCCGCTAAACTTTTCTGTTTCAGAGACAGCCAGGATCAAGAAACGAAGACAACGACACACACACACACACCCCATACCCTCCTTTCCCCTCCCCTCCCGCGCTAGCCTAAGGGCCACTTTAGCAAAGCGCATCCCAGGCTGCATAGCCGCACTACCCTACCCAACCATACCACACATAAACATGACACTACCCCCGGGGTTTACACAGACGAGCCGGCGAAGCAAGAAGAGCGCCAGAAGAAAGGGCCCTAGCCGGCGGGGCCCAGCCAGGACAAAAGGAGGTCCCACAAAGCGCCTACACCGGCCGCATTTGCGGTCGGGGTAGACGACGGATGGGGCCCACCTACGAAGGCTGTCCAGGCCTACACGAGATGAGGCAGGATAAAGAGGGATAATCCCCCTCGATCCCAAATCATTGAGGCCAATTTCTAG